TATTGTTTGATGTTTATACATCGGTAAGTGTGAGTTGGAAAGTTATTTCAAGTGCTTTTATCTGCAAATTTTGATTGTCCTGATTCTAGTCAAACAATCGATGGAAAAGTTGATAAAATAATGAAACAAATTGAGTATGACCAGCAGCACATTAGCAGTCATGATATCGGAAAAGAACTAAACATTGATTATAAAAAAGTTTTAAACCATTTGATGCAAGTTGGGTATAAAATATGTTAAAAGAAAAAAAAAAAAAAAAAAAGAGAAAAGAAACTTGTTTCACTTTTGCAATAAAATTAGAAAAAAGTTGTCTCCCAAACCGAATATAATCTTCTAATATGAATTATTCTAATTAATTTTGTGATTAAAAATTTAAATAATATATAATATAACATAAGTTTTATATATAAATGTTAATTCTCTAGTGTTAACATAAAATAAAATATAAAAATAATAAAAATTTATATTTCATAATTATTAACATTTCTAAGAGAGAAAAGAACTGATCCTGAATATATTATAGAAAATTAAAAATAATAGAAGAGGAAAAAAGAAAGAGAAAAATATAAGAATGGAATGAAAATAAAAAATAAAGACAATCAATAAATTTTAATACTTCGGTTGCATACTACAGAAAAAAATATTAAAAGTGAATAATACAGCAAAGAATTAAATTCGTGAAAAAAGCTAACATCATAATTAGAGAAGACTGTAGTGGTGGTGTAAGGGAAAGAAAATTTTATGAATGTTTTCATTTAAAAAATCCTACACAATTCGATAGATAATGTATTTATGATTATATATCAATAATTACGTAATTCTGTGCATAGAATCTGAATCTGTTTTTAAAATGTGCTAAGATTTCAGGTTTTACAGTACTTAAGATACTTAGTTGTATTTTTGTTTTATTAAGGGGTAATACCTATTAAGAATTTCAAACAATTGAAATTTTGTTTGGTTTGAAATGTTTTTTTGAATGTAATGAAATTAAATTGGAAGAAGTTTAACAAAGGTGACAAGTTTCGTAATGGCTATTTAAGGTATCCTATGTTTTGTTATCTGATAAACTTTTTTTTTTACGAACAATTTTGTCAAAAAATTCACGCCTGAAATTACATATTTCAATTCTATCGTACAACATTTCTACAAAAGACAATATTTTTTAAATATTCTACGCTCTCCGATGAATAATATTTTGTAGAACTGAAAAAGAATGAATTGTTTTTGTCTCTAGAACAAAAATAGAAGAATAAATCTGTCCGACAGCAAAACACTGTTTTCGATATAAGATTTTCTTTGTTAAACTGTCACGTTGTTGTCTTGGAAAAACTAGCAATGGAAAAACATGTGAATATTATTGAAAATCTACATATTCACATATATATATATATATGGAACCCCAGAAAAACGTTATTGAATTTTAAATCTGCACTACTTGTTGGTATTTAATTATACCAATGTTAGTCAGTAGCATTTTTTTAAAAACTATGCTGTCTATATAAGTATTTTGACCTAATAGAGAAAAACTGACTTTTCCATTGAATTCTGCTACACAAAAAGAGGTAAATCCGTATATTCATTAGTTATAAGTGTAATTGTTTCGATAAATTTAAAATCGTTAACGTGCACCCCCCTCCCCCTCCTTCGCATTTTATTAGATAATTATGTATAATTTCCAATTGAATGTAATCGAAATTATTGAATATTTTTTACTAATGGACGAATATTTCATGCGCGTGTGTTGAAATTATTTTATATCCTAAAAAAAATAAAATCCTAATATCCTAATAAAAAACTGTTATTTCCAATATATTCAGCACCCCAAAATAAGAAATTATCATTATATTTCAAAACCAAATACAGAAACAATGTTAAAACTTGTTGACCAATGTTAGTTTATATAAAAAAAAAAAAAAAAAGATTAATAACTGTAAAATATATTATAAATATTTAAATTCTCGTATATAAAATAAGAATAAAAATACCACCTACTTAAATTAATAATACTTGGAACTAATTAATTAGTCATTTAATAAGAATTAAATGAATCTAAAAATAAAGAAAGAAAGAGAGAAAATGAAATAAAATATATAAATGACATGACATAAGTATATAACCGGTTAAGATCACTTCAATTAACTTCTCAAGCTTCATATAATAATCTCTCCTACTCAAAAAAACGATCCACTAGAATGAAAGTATATCAACGAATGGAAAGAGAGCTTCGAGAACGAAAATGTTATCGCTAAGCACGCGGCCAAGCATCGGACAGCTGTTTTATTTTTGGCTTGCGTGGTATGTTCGAGTATGCCGAAAGTGTTATTGCGAAATCTTCTGGGACTGGGACAAGTACAAGCAAAAAAAATCTACGTTATATAAATCTTACAAATATCACGTTAAAGAATAAAAAATAAAAAGTTAAAAAAAATAAGAAAGAATCGAAAAAATGTATGGGGGAAAAAAAAATGAAAGAAAAACAAATTCAATATTTTATTTAATTATTATAATATGAATTAATTATATCATTGTCGCCATTATTAGTCTTCCTTTTTACAGGTTTAATAGGAATTAATATTATTATAGTACGATAAAAAAG